GCGCGGACATATCAAGATTAAATGCATTTCAAAACAAGTCCTTGCGAAGAATTCTTAACAAGCCTCCAACTTTCATAGACAGACAAATCACCAACGAAAGCATCTACACTGAGATCAGGGAGCAACACGGCTGCGTCTTTGAACACTTTGGAATAACGTGGCAAAGAGCGAAACTAAGACTCTTCGGTCATATTTTGAGAGCACACCCTTCTGATCCGATGAAGCAAGTCAGTTTGGCAGCAGACGGTTTACATCCCAGGGCTATTAGTCAGCGTCGTTCAGGACGACCAAGAGCGGACTGGATCACCCAAAGTTATAAAGATGCTTTCACGGCTATGTTTCCAGGTGGGGCCTTGTTCGATGCTAACAACACAAATCATTTGTTACAAGTCAAAGCTCAAGCACAGTCAAGATTGCCTCCTTTCGGGTGACCCACCCAGGCTTCGGCCTCTCGAGGTAATTGCTCTTGGTAATCTCTTTGGCGTCAATATGCGGTGCTCTTTTCTAGACTTCTTCACATTGGCAGCGGCATTGTCTATAGTTGGTCTCACTTGATTGTATTCTTGGGTGTTTCGGATTGCGTGCACAGCGATCGTCGGGGGCTCAGCTTTGCCCATGGGAAAACATGAGGAATCCCTTGCAAAAAAGGCTCAGCCTTTGTGCCTGCTCGAGGTAGGTGACCTTCTGTGCTCGGCTGCTCGAAGTTCTCACCAATTGGTGCAACACACCGGACCATAAGCTGGAAACGCCTGTAAAGACCAAGCTAATCATCAAGCATCCCTCAGAACTACTAGTGACAATTGCAACAGCAATACAGACAAAGAAGTAATAGTCTCCACGAATGACTTGACGAATAGCAAATTGCAGTTGCGCCCCGTGCAAGTCAGAAGTTCAGCATTTGAAGTTTCTGTGTAGGCTCAGGGAATCCGGTTTGGTGTCTTCCCACGGCACTTGGAGATGCGAAATTTGCTTTTGGATTGAGTATTCAGGCAAGTCGGGCCCCTAAAGCCTAAACCCTTCAAGCCTGAACCCTAAACTACCCTCAAACCCTAAACCCTAAACCCTTAACCCTGAACTCTCCTGAAACCCAAAACCCCAAACCCTTAACCCCTTAAAGCCCTAGTAGGTGTCGGAGCGGAGTCGATGTCGCAGGTGGCAGAGTTCCGAAATCTGTTGATCCCAAGCTCTACCCCAAGCCAACCTGAAATTTATAGGTTTAGGGTCGGCCCGAATCTCTAAAGCCCTGTCCAACAACCGAAATCGCTTAACCTGGAGTCGAGGCTGTACCGAGCAAGAACTTTGGAACTACTCCGGTGGAGTGTGGCTGCAGAGTACAATGCTACCCGGCTTCTGAAGGGTTTCGTTTAGGGTTCAGGGTTTACCACCACAGAAAGCTTGCCTATACCCGCGATACGTGTCCTTGTCTTGGTCAGCCAGTTTTAAGGCTAGGATCCGGTAGCTAAGAAAACCAGGAAAGCCAACAAGACATTACAGTGGAGGTAATTCAGTTTGGGGTTTGTACTCTGAAGCGTAGTTTTTAGGGTTCACTGGAAACCTGGGTAGGTGTCTTACGCACGTGCTTGCTACATCCCTAAACCCAATCAACCCTAAACTCCTAAACCATTAAGCCGAATTAAGCCCATGAAACCCATTAAACCCGTTGACCCCATTAAACCCTAAACTCCTAAACCATTGCCTGAATCAGCCGTCGTTAATCCCCAAGCCCCAAAGCCCTGAAGTCCTTGGCCTTGCCTTTTTAGATTCGGGGGCAGCAAGCACCATGCTGGTTGCAAGAGCTACTATAGGGGCCTAAATGGCTGCCTACACCATTTTGGGGTTACTTACTGATATAATGGGCCCAAATTATCAAGGCCCCTATATTACCAGAGAGACTCGCCTAAGCCTTCACCCCCCGTTGGCAATGCCCTGGCAGGATTTTGGCTTTGAGGTTTTGCGTTCCACTGGTGTGCACAGGCTTTCGGGATTCTGCACCATTTCACACCACCCGTCAAGCTTGCAACTAAACCTTGAACCCTAAGCCCTGCCACCCTAAACTGCATGCCGCACAGCCTTCAACCTCCACACGAAAACCCCAAGCCCTAAAACGATACTATAGGGGCCTTACTAATTACCTACACTATCCTGAGGGTTCCTTATTATAACTACAGCATGATATCCCCCAAACCCATCAAGGCCACCATACTATAGTACCCTTGTGGAACCCTTATAGTATCCCTGATAGACCCCCTTTAAAATTTAAAGGAACCCTGTTCTAAGTATTAAGGCCACCATATTTCACCCAAAGCTCCTGAACCCCTATCAGGTCCCCGGACCATCTGAACCGCTTCCAGTACAACAGCAAGCACCGGACGTCGGTCGAAGCCTCGGGCCTTTAAGGTAGCCTTGAGGGGGGAGTTTCCGAAAATTAGGGGTACTTTAGTAACAAGGACCCTATAGGCTGTTTAGCGTACAATTCTGTTGTCCCCTATTTTCGGAAACTCCCAGAGGGCCCAGGGTTTTGGGTGTAAGGCTTAGGGTTTACCCTTTAGAGGGCTTGGGATTGCAGGGATATGGTGGCCCTTCTTCAAGGAGCCATTGTGGTAGCGCTTATAGTGGCCCTTAAGCTCGCGTGTACGGTGACCCTAATAGTACAGTAGCCCTCGTGGTAGCCGGTGATAGGCATCTTCGATTTGGAAAGTACAACTCCGATGTGGGAGTTTCCGAGAATAGGGGACCCTAATATGGTACCCTAATAGTAGGATCCTTATTATAAGGCCCCCAAAATAAGGTACCCCTGTTTTCGGAAACTCCCATGTTGTGACAAGGGGTCGAATTAGGTGGCCTTGTGGATACTGCATGTCTTGCCTTATTGAGCTTATTAAGAGGATCTTGTTTACGAGCATGTTCAGAGGCGTGCAAGCTGTGAAAGGGCCAACCTAGCGAAGATGATCCTTGAAGATCCACTAAGTCAAGGGCTTGAATTCAGCACTGGTGCTGCAGTTGTACGGAAGCTTCAATTTCAGGTTTCGATGGTGTGGTTCTTTGTACGCATACTGTTGAGGGTCAAGGACGGTCTTGGTTTTCGGTTTCAGTGTTAGCAGGTGTTGTTCTGGCTTCTCTGTAGGGTAGCCTTGAAGGGGCTACTATCACTGCGTCCTGACATCTAGGCCCGATCGCCCCCGGCCTCATTCAGCAAAGCATCAGAGCCTTGGAGCCCGCCCATGACATAGGCGGTTTAGGGTGTGAAGTTCAGGGTTTGGCTCACTACAGCGGTATCGGGAATGGCTGTTTGGGGGGGGGGGTAGATTGCATACGACTTGTTGACGGACTTTGAGGGAACCGCGTCATTTGAGGTTATTCAGACAATATCAGACGTATTCAGATACCGTTCTTACCCTGTGCACGAGTCTTCAAACCTCTTAAGGGCTCAGGGGACTTCGTAAGTAGGTCATACTCGGGGTTATAAGTCCCCTAACTGGTGGTATCCTAACTATACCTTTACTGATAACCTCACCTACTCGGGTTGATGATACAAATACCACATTACATTAGTGACCCTAGACTATGGGAAGTATGGTATATCCTTATTATGGGTACAGCAGGATTTGTAGCATCAACCACACGTCCCTCAGGCTTTCAAGTCGGACCTCGAATTTCAGGTCAACCCCGGAGGACTTCACCGAAAACCCCCTACAGATGCCTTGTGAGGAGCCCATGAAGGTCAAAACAGTGGCCTAAACAGTTACCAATACTCTTTGTTTTGGGGGGGGGTCCTTATTCTGTGTATAGTATAGTGGGCCCCAAAGCCGCATTCCAGTTAGAAAGGCCCCTGTGATACTAAGTCCCTTGAGCCTCTAAGTCGGAGGACTTCACCTAAAATCCACTATAGATCCCTTTAAGGAACCCTTTAAGTTACTAAGTCCCTTGGGCCTTTGAGTCGGAGGTCAAGCCGGAGGACTTCTGGAAGCAGCTTTGTGAGCACAACCTGCAGCTGCCTGGCTGTGAAGCTTCGGACAGGGCAGAGGGTGAGATGATGGTGGTGGTGGTTTAGAGTTTAGGGTTTAGGTGATAGTGGTGGCGGTGGTGGTGAAAGCCGCGGGGAGGGAGGGTAGGCGGAAGGACGGATTGCTAGGAGGATTGTGAGGAAGATCGTTGTGATCGTGCTGCTGCTAGTGAGGATGACGAAGGTGGTGATATCGTTGGAGGTGCGGAGGTAGTGGTTGTGGTTGTGATATGAACCCTAAAGCCTGAACTCAAAACCCCTAAGCCCTAAACCCTTAAAACCTAAACCCCTGAAACCTAAAACCCTAAACCCCTGAACCCTAAACCCACATCGCAAGACCCTCGCGCCATGTGGGCACGGAACCTCGTGGTCAGGTTCGAGAGTTCCTGGATACCCCATAGGGCCATAGGCTGCATCCATAGGCTCCATAGTATTTTCTTTTTGGGATTACTTGATATGACTCCAAATATGAACCCCAAAAAGGAACTGCCATGGAGCCTATGGGTACCCCAGAATATGTGCAAGAGCCCGAGCACTATACGAACGAAGACACCCAGCAAGAGCCAGCCGAGGAATAGTTGATAAGCCCAAAGATATGCAGTCTCCAAGGTTGCATAAAGCCGAGGTAAGCAGCAACAATGCAGGGGCTTTAATAATCACCAATACTATTGTTGGGGGGGGTTCCTTATTCCTTATTATAAGTATAGTGTAATATGCCGCAAAGCCATATTCTAATTATTAAGGCCCCTGTGTTGGGTCAGCTCGCTTCGTTCCGATTGGTTGGCAGTGAGCCTTGAGCCACGCTAGAGTACCATGGCTGAGTGCATCCACTCAAGTTGAGCAGTAGGGCAGCTCGCTTCGATTCCCTGCATTCATTGAACTAGATTAAAGACAAATAGGCACAAACGCAGAAAACTTGGAAGAGACCTGAACTCGTGTTCAAAAACGTTGCTGTCCAAGATTTGAGTGATTTTGGGACATCGGTCTTTCAAGAAGCATGGCGGAGGACCTTGCCCTACCGCTTGCTCGGCAGACCCCTGACTGGGCGACGGAGCCCTGCCACGATCAGTACCGGTCATGCGAACTGGACCCAGGCCAAGCCGGAGACCGGGAGCAGGACCATGAAAGTCCGATGTTTGCTGTAGACATGGACAGTATGCCGATCCGAGCATGCTACCCACTTCGTGCTGCTGTCGTTCAAGCGAAACAGCAGTGGTACTCCGAGCGGGCGGAGCAGAACTACAGCTTTCCGCCCAGTGGCATGGTGTTGCACCTGTCTGACGCAGACTGCGGCAAGCTGCAGCGGGAGAACGGCGACATTTACTGGTTTGCATGACTCCTGGCCTACAAAGAGGAGAATTCCCTCGGATGCTGCCCCACTCAGCAACAGTTGGACAATGCTGTCATTCTAACTTATAACGAATCAAAACATAGATATGTAAGGCCCTCAACAGTGCCCTGATTGAAGACTACATTGTGACTTCACTGTAGCGGCGCAGTACCAAGCTAGGTTCCTGCGTAGTTGTGATTTTGGGGTTCCTTTGTTTAACCCACATAATAATATAGTGGGAAAAGGGTACCCTTACTATACAGGGGCTACTCAGGAACCCAGAAAGTCCTATCTTGTGGATCCCAGGGCCCACCTGATGAGCGCCATCATCGACGGCACAGAGCAAGCGACTGGGTTCTTGGGAGGGAGCTCAGTTACAGTCTATCTGTTAGTCTTTGCGGGTTCGATTCGCCTGTCGATCAATCAATCTATCTGTCTATCGGTCTATCTATCTATCTATCTGTCTGGCTATCTATCTAGCTAGCTACCTGTCTATTTGCAGCTTGGGGGAGGGCGGCTTGAATCAAACTCCGTAGCCAGAACCCAGGTGAGAGATGACGGCCTTGTCGAGGGCCACGCAGCACAGCTGCACTTCGAATATCTGAGTATTAGAAAAACGAAAAAAGTACAAAAACCCTGAGCCCGAACACCCTGCAACCTGAGCCCCAAATGCCTCATTCGTAAAATGCTTACAAACCCTGAACACAGTAATTGGCTATATTACGTCTATATAACTGAACGTGTGTATATATATATATATATGTAATTATGCATAATGTACATGTATATATACTAGATCTACATATACATTCATGCACACATAACCTCATACAAAAATGCATACATGTTGGTATCCATTAACTATAACAACATATATACGTGCAACAAGGATCTGCTAAACAATGCGTCTCCTCAGCTTATCCAGGCTTACTCACTTCTCTTCGCTTTGGAGGCACTGGGCGTTTGAGGCTTAGGGTTTAGGGTTTATGGGGCTTGGTGTCTAAAGTTTGGGGTTGTCTGGATGTTGGCTGCGTGTTCGAGGTCTGTGGAACAGGAGCTTTTGGGTACAGGGCCGTAGATGTTGACGCAACCAGTGTAGTCATTTCACAGGTTTGGCTTTGGAGCCTGCTGTTCCCGATCCTCCCAAACGGTGCAATCCTCAAAGGCCCCAAAGCGCAAGGCCCCAAACTTAAGCCCGGAGGCCCCAATGCTCAAACCCTAAACTCTAGACCCCGCAGATTCCTGCCTCCAGCTTCGATTCTGCAGGCTGCTTTAAACTTACTACGGTTAACCCTAGGGCCCTAGGGATCAAAATAGCCCAAAAGCCTTATAGTATGGGCCCAAAAGCCTTAATATATGAGTCCTTAGATCCGTAGGGTAAGAGCCATGAAGCTTAACTCGAGGCTGGGCAGGTGCTGGTAACCATCGACCTTCGAGGGTATGTTTAGGCCTACAATAAATCTAAATGGGAGTTTCCGAAAATAGAGGACCCTAATATAGTATCCCAAATAGTGGGATCCTTATTATGAGGACCCCAAAATAAGGTACCCCGATGTTCGGAAACTCCCAAGTAGAGGTGAGTATACACCTTGTTCTCCTCTGAAAGACCAGCAACCCTATAAGCCCGCTGCATGATCTGCGCAGGTGCCAACGCTGCGAGGCACCATGCGGATGCTCATGCTCAGAAACCCCTGGGGTGGAGACAAGGAGACCGAACTTTAGACTTAGGGAGGTGTTGTGGGCTGAAGCGGGTTGAGATAGCTTGAAGAATATGGTGTTCTTGTTCCTGTGCTTTGTAGGTTTGCGTAACTGAAGTGTGCGGATTGCACTGTGCAGTCTGCTGATATGTGGCCCCATGTCAACTTGCTGTTGTTTTTCATCCTCGCGCCCCATGGCCCAGTCGGTTGTCAGAGTCCGTAGTATGCCGTAGCACAAACCCAAAGGCTCCATGTACCATATAGTAGTATAAGGCTGTAGGCTTAAAGTACCTATTTAGGAACCCCCTGTACAGCCCGAGTAGAAAACGCCTACATAGGAACCCCCTGTAAACAGCCTGAGCAGAGAACACATAAAAGCTTTCTAAAGCCCCAAGCCCTAAACACCTTATTAGGTCCCCAAAATGCTACGCCACCCTTATGAAAGGACCCTACTTAAAGTGACCCAAGTTTAAAGAAGTACCCGTATGATCCCATATGCAAGCTTTCTAAAGCTCCGAGTGCATGTCCTGAGGAGTGGAAAGGCCGATGGTCGGACAATCATCCCCTGTGGTCGCAGCACCAGGAGGCTCCCAGAGTGCTACCAGATTCGATATACAGGGTTTAGGGTGCCTTTTAGGGTACTGTAGGGTTATAGGGTTCTGTGGTAGGGTTCCCTTTAAGGGTACTATAGGGTTCTAGAGTAGGGTTTGGAGGAATTCGGAGGCTCAAGCCTTACCTACAAATTCCAATAACCTGCTGTTTTGAAGGCCATGACCCGTAGTTAGGCGGCGAGACGTAGCCTACCATGTCGTAGGGTTGGAGGCTCAAGGATTATTTCCCGTCCCAACATAACCGCTCATGAGCCCTCGAGCAACCTTTTAAGACGGGGCTGTTGCGGGCCGGACCTGTTTATATTGTGGTTGTGTACGTTATGGTTGATATTTGGGCTGAAGCACTATTCAGATTTCCGCAGGGATACTTGATATACTTACGGTATAGAGCAGTATAGAAAGCTCCGAACCCTACGTTATCTCATTTGGCGATGTTCGACCCGGGGTCAGGAAACTTGCCACGTGCTGATGTGGTTCTACTCACCAATACCAGAAACAGCGCTACTCAACGCGTGCCCCATCTTTTCGGACCATATTATCACCAGATAGGGAGCTTGAGCATATTGCTACGAATATCCCCTAAACCCAGACCCTAAACCGCAAACGCTAAACCGCTAAACGGCCTTAAACCCTAAACGGCTAAACCCTACCTTCTCGCTTAAGTTCCCCCAAAACTCCAGATATCCCGGAGGTGAAGTCGAAGCTGAGACCGAAGTTCGAGAATGACGGCGTTTTCTGGATGCTCCTCGATGCTCAAAGGGCTCCACGGGTGGGGGTTTAGGGTTTGAGAAGTTTATTTGGGGAGGTGGTGTAATCCCCAAAAAGAGTCCTGATATGAGGGATCCTTAATCCTACTTAATACCTTCACCCCACCTTTCGATTCTCCTGGATGCCGCCAAAACAGCCCGCCAAAACACACGAGCTGTCTATACATACCAATCTTATGTACATAATATCTATCTCTATATATATATATATGTATATTTATATGTGTGTATATATATATATATATATATATATATATATTGTGTGTGTGTATATATATATATATATATATAGCACCTCTGCGATAAGCGTTTGTCATCCAGCCTTTGACTTTAAATCGATCCTTAAATTCATGCTTAGCTCGAGTCCTTCAATCGAACCCTCAGCAGGTTGAACCTTGAATCGAGCCCACAACCCTTCGCTTCTTGGCTTGCCCAGACATTCCAAAATCCCTTAACTAACGAATAGAGCTAAATTATAGTAGGGATCTTCCAAAATCCCTTACTAAAGGAATAGACCTTAAACTATAGTAAGATGCGCAATGACTATGGTTTAAGCTATATTCCTTTTTGTTAAGGGATTTTTGAAGGTCTGGGTGCTGACCCAAACCGAGGCAGTGGGAGGACTTCCAAAGCATCTTCGACTCCGTTCACATCTGCCAGAAGTCCATGCTCGTAACTTGGCCGTTTACTTGGAGGGCAGGGGACTCAGTACCTAGGTTGTAAGTAGAGTTATACATGGAGTTACCCCCAATTATAAGCCTACTCCGTTTACGCAGCCAATTGCCCGAACCGACCCTAAACTTATATTGGGTGGTTGTCAAGATTACGGGCCCTGTTGGGTCCATATAATACGGCACCTAATTTTTAGGGTACCCAATTAGGGACCATAATTTTGACATCTAACCATATAGTAGAAGCCAGAAAGTTGGAACATCACTATCCTCTCGGCCTTAATGTAAAGGATAAGGGATCCTAGCACTAATCCTCCTAAAGCCATGTTCCATCTTCTGGCTTCTATACTACTAGAGCCCAGAGAGAGCGTAAACTCAAACTGACTCAAACATCCTACCTTTTCAGGGCTCAGGCAGTAGGTTGGGGTTCTTGCTTGTAGTATGGTTGTTTCAGGTTGGGTTTGTCGGGTTTAGGGCAGAAGGGGTGTAGGAGTTTAAAGTTCATTTGGTCGATAGAGTGGTGTTTTTGAGAGTGGGTCACCCGTAAGGCTTTTAGCGGGTTGCTTTTGCCAGCACAGAGTGATGCATATCACCAGTGAGACACATTTTGGCTCTAGGTAAATGCTTCCAGGCTTGATTGGTAGTCAGAAACAGTCAATGTGTGTTTGGTGTGAATTCATTTTTTGCTTACATGCAACTTGTGCTTGCTGTACCTGTGGTAAGTCATGCATAGTTGCCGGCACTGCGGCTGAGGGTGTTGGTTCTAAGTTTTGTTACGTGTTGGAGCCATGTCCAAGAGGTCCCTGGATGCCAGTACGACTGTGCCAGCTAGGATGCCCAGTAGTACCCTTATTCCTTTTTTGTAGTCCTAGGTTCCTTATATCCTTATAAAGTTACCCAATACCAAAAAGAGAGGCCTTTTTATTCTTAGGTTACTGGGTATCCTAGCCAGAGAGCGTGCTGTCGGACGGCGGCTTGGACCTGGACACGTCGTCGGAGCGGTCACGCCGGACTCAGAAGCAGCTGGGAGCAGGCCGTGTGGCCAGGAACATGTGCAGAGCCCTGCTGCACCAGCCAGCCTCTGAAGAAGAGAAGCAAGCTATCCGGGATTGCACGAACGAGCAGCTGCTGGCAAGGAACGATGGACATCGTGAAGCGGATGCAGCTGCTGCGATGTTGCCGGCATCTGGTTCGGCTCATAATTGACTTACAAAGTAACCTTAACCGCTAAACCAGATCTAAACCTTCACTCCTGGTTTACCGGTGCGGTTTAGGCTCAGAGTTTAGGGTTCAGTGCCTATGGCTGTGGTGCAGGCTTCAGAGTGGAAGCTATAAAGCTCAACCCCCTGAACATTAGACTTCCTTAACCCTTCACCTTGCCGTCTGCGGGGTCGGAAAGCTAGGCTCCTTCCGGATCTTCTTCTTATCGAACCCTTTTCACAATCTGTTCAATGCCCTTGACCTCAAAATCCTTAAACCCTGATCCTAAACTTTCGGGACCATTAGCCTTATTACGAACCCTCACACCTTGGAAGCCTTAACCTCATGGCTTCTGATTCTAAACCCAAAAACCCATCCGCCCTCCGCAACCCACAAAGTGCAGCCAAGGAAGGGGAGGCGCTTCGACGGTTCCGCGCGGGCCTGCAGGAGCGTTCCCGGCAAAAGAGGTGTCAGGTTTAGGTTTTGGCTGAGGGCTAGATTAAACTTGATCAGCTCGGCGATGTTGCTCGGTTTTCACCTAGAAGCCCGAACGTCCTCAACCCAAATGATTCCAGACCGCACAGTCTCAAACCTCCAAACAAACGCCAAACCCCCAAACACCCGAAGGTTTCAAATCCCTGTCAAGACTCAGAAGCTTTTTGTCCTGTTTAGTACCTCCATGGCAAGATGCCACAAAAAATCCAAGCCGCTTAAACCATAAACCACTAAACCCCTACGCCCTAAAGAGGAATCAGTGGTATTGCTAGTCCCGAGGTTTCTTTTCATGACGATACCACAATACACTGCGATACACAACGCGAATCAGTTTTATTAATGCACCCATGCGAAACCCTTATCGTAACCTTTAGTCTGGTAGCCCCTTTCAAACCCGCTAGAGGAACCCTACACTAAAGACCAAAGGATGGGGAAGCTTACGATGACCCTTAAAGTAGCCATTTTGGAACCCTGAACGGACTCTGTTACAGAAGCAAAACGGAAGCGGGATGGGATGGGCTCCTTATTTTCCAGAAAGCAGAACATACCCCCATCCCCATGTAGCATAGACCCCAAAACCCAGAGACTGGTTTCCGTTTCGAGGACTCATTGAGGACTGCAGTTCCTAAACCCGTAAAGCCTTAAACCTACAGCCGCCACGACGGCAAGACTCCTAAAGCCTTGGTTTTCGAGGACTTCAGCCATTTCGATCCGGCACGGGCCAGCCGTGCGCGCGGCATCGCGGCGAAGGCGAAGGCCGAGCTCAAGGATATGGGCTCAGCATTTCTAAAGGGGTCTTATAGGGATGTAATGTATAGGTGCTGTTGGCATTTATCGAGTTTCTAAGCCGAGTTAGTCGAATATTCCTACATGACACTGTATGTTACAAGGGGCTGCTAAGAGGGTCGCTGTTAAGGGTTTTCCGGGTTATAGTGGGTGTTACAAGATCTTGAGAGGATTTCTGAAAAGGGCCTTGATAGGGTTTCTAACAGGATTCTAACAGGGTCTCATCGGGTTTCTTAAAGGATGTTTAGGAGGGTTTCTGAACGGTTTTCATGCGGCTTTGTTTGTTTATGAGATGTTTATCGGGCTTTATACACGGTTCACAAGGTTCATAAGGATCTCGCGACCTTGAGGTGTGAATACGGGTGCTCTGGGGTGTCTACTGCTGTTGAGGCTGAGTGCCTTAAGGCCGTAGAGTCCGTAGTGTGGAGGAAGCAGTGATTGTGCTAGAGGTCCGAGGAACCCATGATATTGTCCCTTGCCGTCCCGATGTAACCAGACCATGTTTCAACTTCGGGTTGCTTTGCGTCGGAGGTGATCGCTTTGGCGAAGATGGGGCTGCTCCGTCAGCGGATGGCACCTTGCAAAGACCGCTTAGGGTTTAGTTGACAGAATCTAGGCATGTTGGAGTTACAGTTTCAGGTCTGCGCGGGTTTCCTTGCCATGCAAGTGTCAACCGCTCGCGAAGAGCCTACTCTCTATTCCCTGGACAGGCTTACACGAAAGGGAGAACAGAATCCACTTTAGTGCTTCCACAAAGTCCAGGGTTTAGGGGGCTATGCACGACTCCTTTGGGTTACAGTCACCGGCGATACAGACTGGTAGCTTCGACAGTTTTCAACGCTGGGGCTTTCCTGGCCAATTCCTTAGGGTGCTTCTGTACAGCATATCACGTATTTTCTAACCTGTATTCCAAGTCTTAGGGCCTCTGGCCTGGCCTGGCAGTGGTGCCGGCTTGAGGAATGGCTTGACTACTCTAAGAACAGCATCGTGACGCGTGCGCCATCCCAATAAATAAAAAAAAGCATCGAACATCATACAGTATGTCTTAGTGGGCAGGTCTGAATACCAAGACACTAGGGATTTGCATTGCCTAGGACTTTGTGGTGTTGATACGAAAGCCCTTTCGAGGCAAGCTGTGTCCCTGACTGCTGAAGCTCCTCTGTCGATTTTTTGGTCCAGGGTTTGAGAGATGCTTAGATTGTCTTCGCCTCAGCTGGGGGCCGGTGTAGGGCTTGAGGCAGTTCTCTGCTCGTACGGCATCCGTAAGCACGGCTGCCGTCAGAGAACCAGTTTCTGTTGTGCAGAATCACCAAAAAACACTAGCATCGGGGTTCTTGAGCCCACTAAGTACACCGCCTCTTACAAAACGCCGTAACACCTGATAAACCCCTTTTATGTACAAAAAGCTTCATAGATTCCTTGATATGTTTCAAATTCTAGGTAAACCCCTAGTATATAAAAAAGCCGTATAAATCCCTTTCCTGCGACACTGAACTCTAAAACCTGAACCACGCCTGAACCCCTCAACCCGAAACCCTACACAATCCCTAAATCCCATCCTAAACAACCCCCCAAAACCCTAAACCTGAAAAGACACCCCAAACCCTAAACCCTAAGACCCTAAACCGCTTATACTAAACCTTCAACCCCAAACAAACCTCTAAACCCTAAATCCCCAAAGCAAACCCCTAGGCCCTAAACCCTCAAACCCCTAAACGCCGAAAAACAAAAGCCCTAAACTGCTTATACTGCTTATTCTAAACCTTAAGAACCAAATAATCCCTAAACCCTCTTCGCGAACCGAAAAGGAGCCCTTAAAAACAGGAATCCCTGAACACCGAAACAACAGCCCTGTATCGCGACAGCAAAGGCGAAGGAAGCTGGCACCCCAGTGGAAGGCACGCCGAAGGGGAGAGAGGGAGGGTGTTTTGGGGTACGGTTCCAAGGGATCTATAAGGGTTTAGGGTTTATTGGGTTCCTACTTGGAGGATGTTTTGGGGTTGGGTTCCCGTATAAGGGGTCCTATAATGCTCTAGAGGCTCCTTTAAGGGAGTGGGATCGGGAGAGCCTTTAAGGTTCAGGGTTTCCCCACACCCTAACCCTAAACTTTCCGGAAGGGAGGTGTCGAGGGTGTTTGTTTGGGCTTGGATTGCTTTTAGGGCTCTTCTTTGAGGGATCTATAGGGTTGCTATAGGGTTTAGGGCTTGCGGGTGTTCTCGTTTTGGTCGAACAGGGCGGGCTTTGGGGTTTTGGGGTTTAGGGTGCATGGCTCAGGAGGACGTGCGTGAACTTTGCCGGCTGGAAGTGTCATTGGCATGAGAGAGCAGCTATTCCGGCTATTCCAAAAGCCACAAGTGTTTCGACGTTCATGTGCATCGACATGTCGAGTTAAGAGGCGTTATCGAAAACGTTGTCCACTCCTAGCTCCCGTCTACTTAATTACACGACAATGCACCCCAAAACCGGAAACCCTAGACCCTACTCTACAAACTAGTAACTAGGCTTGTAGTGTTTTATAAAACACTAGAAACCCTAAAACCTACTCTACAAACTAGTAACTTGGGTCCCGGTAGGGGCGGGCAAACTCCCCATGCAGCGACAGGCACTCAGAGCACAGGGACGCAATGCTTCTCCTTCCGCGCACAGGACAAGGCCTTGGTTTTGGGGTTTGGGGTTTAGGGTTTAGGGCTTAGGGTTTAGGTTTAGGGTTTAGGGTTAGGGTTCTTGGGTTTGGGGTTTACTTTGAGGTTTAGGCTTTGGGGTAGAAGGGCTTAGGACATAGGTATCTGGGATGTGTTCTGAGCGACTTCCACTGTGTTGTCGACGACGAGGGATCCGATTTCTCAATTCAGAAATCTTACCTCATGAAGTCATGAACAGAGCTGTCGGAGTCTGGTATCGGGCCCTTACCATCTCCAATCACTTGAGGCTGCGATCCGAATCGATGATTACAGGGCATCTCTCATCGACCCTAAACTAGAACCTCAAATCCTAAACCGGTGCCTAAACGGGGATCCCGAATCGGAGCTAAACCCTGAAGGGATCCGTGAAAGGAGCCAACCTTCATCTGATACTGGAACCCTAAACCACCTCGAAACCCCAAACCATCCCAAACCCCTAGACCCCAAACCCTAATTTAACCCCTAAACCCTCAATCCCATCACCTTAGTTACCAAGTGCCATAATCCTTTAAGCAAGTACTCTAAACTAAACCCCTATAGACCACTGATAGAAGCATTGTAGATCCCTTTAAGTACGCCCGTAACCGCTAACACCATTCACCCCATGCCTCGCAAAAGGTGGAGAGCAAACCCCTTAACCCCTGCACCCTTTACCCCTAAACCCTAAACCCCTACACCCTAAGAGCCCTAATCCCCCTTTAAACCCCCCTGCCTCGCAAAAGGTGGAGAGATTAACCCCTGCACCCTGTACCCCTAAACCCTAAACCCCTAAACTGTAAGACCCTTAATCCCCCAAACCCCTGCCTCGCAAAAGGTGGAGAGCAAACCAGCGGAGGGTACCGAAGGCGGGCGACGAAGTGCTTCAGAGTCGAGGAGGTCTCGAGCTCTCAGGTCCTAGGAGGCCAAAGGGGGTTTAGGGTTTTAGGGGTTAGGGTTTAGGGTTTAGGGTTTAGGGTTTAGGGGTTTAGGGTTTAGGGTATAGGAGGCCAAAAGGGGTTTTAGCCTATGCGGGTTTAGTAGGGATTAGGATTCCCAGAATAGGGTTCATATTAAGGAATCCCTACCCCAAGAATCTCAAACGCCCCTTTTGGCCTCCCATCATTAGGGTTCCGGGCTACAGGGTTTAAAGGCTCCTTTAGAGGGGTCTATGGGGTTCTTCAAAAAGGGATCTAGAGGGTTCGGGGGTTCAGGGTGTAGGAGTTAAGAGGTTAAGTGTTGAATAATCTACGGATTTTGGGTTCAGGCGTCTCGGGGTTTTGTAAAACTGTCAGGGTCTTAGGGTTTGGGTAGAACTCTTCGTGTTCAGGGTTTAGGGTCTACATGTTTCGAGGCTTTTGAGATCCTAAGCCCTAAACCGACTCGGCGCTCGGGTTCAGTTTTGGGATGCGCAGTGCTTACCACACAGCGGGGTACATTGTGACTTTGACAAGGATATAGTGCCCAGAGCTTCCACCTCTTCAGCCTTTCAAAGGACATGTCTTCCATTTGAGCTATCATTAAGTTTAAACAGGCTATTATGTTCATTCAGGTTTCCCACCACCCCACACACCTGCCCAGCCCTAAATGTGCTGTCCTCGTGGCCTTGTACTGGAGTTCACACTTCTCTGGCCCTTGAATTCTACCGAAACCCGACCGGTCGGTGCAACAGCCTTGAAGCTTCTTTGCTGGAGGTACCCAAAGCACAGGTACCCAGTTCTTCTCCTTCTCAGCGGGGGACAAGGCTGTCCCGCACCACTGTGCACCTCAGTGGGGGTTTCTGGTGTCTGGTTGACATTTGTCATCCCTGAACCCTATGGCCCTAAAGCGGTACCGGTAACGCTCCGACTAAGACTAAACATAATCTATTCCGCACACTTGGGACACAAAGTTAACTCTCTGGCAGCTCTTTGAGGCTATGGGTAGAGAACAGATACGAGGACTTCGACGCACATATGTTATGACTTGCTTCATGTTCGGCTGTCAAGACCTCGCAATATTGTACTTGTGTTATTGGGATAGCTTCGGTGGGTCTCTAATTCTCTGACAATGGAATGTTTCGCCAGCAACGCGATCTGTAATTCGCTGTAGTTACCCATAGTGAACGTAATTGCTGGGGACAAGGATTCACAACGTCTTCTTGGCTGTGCGTGTGGGTTCACGGCACTTCCAGAATACGTAACGTAGGGCCGGCGTTATTCACAATGAATAATCCCTTGTAGGACTTATATGGGTTTACAGTATCCACTGAAGCCCTATTCGGATTACGAGCCCCCTATATCTAGTACCCTGGTTGTTGCAACATGCCATAACGATAGTGATCCCTAAGCCTTCAACATCTGCAACCCTGCACTATAATGATCCTTTTGGGGGATCTACTACAAGGAGTTCTGTAAAGGATTCATAAGGTCAGAAGGCCTGCAAGTCATCTGCAAGGGTTCCTTTGGCAAGATCTATAGGCGTTTTTCTAAAGGATCTACAAAAAGCTCCCTTACAGGAGTCATAAGGCTTGCTTTGAAGGATCCAGAAGGGCTCTCTTAGCGGATCTCTTCAGATTGCCTCTAAAGGATCTGTGAGGAGCTCCTCCAATGCAGATGCTTTGGTGAAGAGCCCCTTAAGCCCCTAAATCCTAAGCCCCTGAACACAAGACCACAAAAAAAAACTCTTAGACCGCCAACCCCTAAACCCTAAACTCTAACCCTGAACCCTAAACCCTGACGCCCGATACCTTTGAAGCAAAAGGCCGCTGTACACCCGCGAGAGCAGCGACCGGGCAGCAAAGGCGAAGAAGGCCGGCGAGATGAGCCCACAGGGTTTTAGGGTTCCTTAAAGGACTCCTATAAGAGTCCCTCTCAGGGATCAATAATGGATCTATAGGGGTTCAGGGTTTAGGGTTTAGGGTCTGAGGATTGAGGTTCAGAGCTTGGGGTTTTAGGGTGTGAGGGTGTTTTGGGGTTTTGGTCCGGTTCAGGGGTTTGGTGTATTTTGGGGTTTAGTGTTTAGGGTTTTAGGGTCCGGCTCCTATTAAGAGGTAGTAAGGGGCTACCGCAGTTACCAGAATATGTTATTATCGCAGGTCCGGTTCTGGGGTTTAGGGTTTAGAGTTTAAGGTTTGGGGTTTTAGGGTTTTTGTGGTTTTGGGGTAGTAAACCCTTACCGATAAGGGGCTACTACAATATACTATATAACATACCATACTATTTTTTGCAAATCTATACCCATCGGTTGAGGGTTTCAAGGTATTCTGGTGTTTAGGGTTCAGGAGTTTCTGGTTCAACTGTTCTTTTGGTTTAGGCTTTTGTGTGGTGTTCAGGGGTTAGGAAAGTGTGCAAAGTCTTAGGGAGCTGTACCATCTGCGATATCGTTGTCATGTGGTTTGCTGGGTCTTGGAGTGGCAGTCGAAAGCCTTGCTTAAAGCTTAAGCAAGTGTATACCTTGAACACTTGGCGGTCCTCGCCACTCCTGGCCCATGTGGCCTTGTCCTAGTAGACTGGATCTGCGAGGGTAAAAAGGAGTTCAAAAAAAACCTAAACTCTAACTCAGGCTTTTGGGCGTAGGTCATAGCTTTGCTCCAGTTCGTCACAAGGGGGTTGCGTTCAGGCACGTCCAAAAGGGCCGCTGCAGACCCCAATGCCCAGACCTCCCAAACTCCGTTAATTCAGGAATATACTTCAAATCATATTAGGGACCCAAGTATAAAGTAAGGTATGTAATCCATATTAGGGATCCTATTATAGTCCAAAGTATATTGCTTAAGTAAGGGATTTTGCAAGGTCTGGGTCCCGGGTGCTAAACCGTGAACCCCTTCCTGCTGCACAGGAGCCTGTGGGACTTCGAGTACTGGGACGCAGGTCTTCTCCTTCGCGGAAAATGACAAGGCCACACAAACCTGCTGTCATAAGCATACGTAACGATCATGTAGTTTCACACACAGACACACACGCAGACACACACACACACACACCCACACACACACACACCCACACACCCACACACCCACACACCCGCACACCCACACACCCACACACCCACACACCCACACACCCACACACACAAACACCCACACGCCCACACGCCCACACGCCCACACCCCCACACACCCAAACGCCCGCAAACCCGCACACCCGCACACGCACATGCACCCGCACCCGCACCCGCACCCACACCCGCACGCGCACGCGCACGCGCACACGCACACGCACACGCACACGCAGAGAGATATACATATATATATATATAATATATATATAATATATATAATATATATATATATATATATATATATATATATATATATATATATATATATGGTCACCCCCCCCCCCATGACAGACCATCCCCTTTAAAACATCGCTCCCACCGGCGTGTTCGTGCTTTTTCCGGACTATCGAGTTTGAGCCCTCCGAGCGTATCCCTGGAACCACCAAAAGACTGAGACCAGAAAGCAGCACGATAAGGCGCGCGGGTGTCCTACCAAGAAAGGAATTACAGAGCACACGTGTATGGATGAGGGTTGTGCTGATACACTACATAGTAAGCACTACACAGTAATCTTACTTGAGTCATATATAGAGCAGATTCCAGCATTTCCAAAATTTCCAAAAAGTCCGCCCTTATGTTTTGGAAAAATCCTGTCGACTAGGTCGGTAAATTTTGGAAATTTTGGAAATTTTGGAAATCCGGAAAGTTAGGGGAGGAAATTTTGGAAATTTTGGAAATGCTGGAATCTGCTCTATACATGACTCAAGTAAGATTACTGTGTAGTGCTTTTAACACTAACGTTGACATGTATATTAATGCTTTTATTACGAATATGCACATTACTAATACTATTATTATCATTAATACTCCTACGCCTACCAATAGTCATATTCATACTGATATTAATGCCAATACTAACAGACACCTGCGTATACTAATGTCCGCAGATATACATACCACTGTCTGAAAAGCAAATATATCAATGCATTCGTGTACTAACGTAGTATATTCGTATTTAATTTGTCATATACCGAGTTTCCAACGTGGCAATATACTACTTGTTAACGTCTGATTATACTGTATTGATATGCTAACTTGCTAAGACACGAATACTGTAATATGCAAGTACACTGACACATGGCAATGGTATACTAACATATGGATATACCAAAAAAGTTGTTAGATAATATACGAATATGATAAATGAAGTAGCATACCAGGATACTCATACACTAATATGTCAATAATCGAAGATAATAGCACACCAATATACTAATGTACTCATGCACGAACGTACGCATGCATTAATATACTAAGAGCATACAAACATGCAGGTATACAAACATATTACTGTTCGAATACATTATAATGTGTTGGTATACTAAGCTGTTTATATAATCTATCAGTATACTAATATATCAAAACTAATTATAGTATTGATACGCATACTAGCACGTCCGCGAATATTACACTGATGTTAAATTCATCATTAAGACTGATTAAAACTGACATCGACATTGGCACTGGCATTAACACTAATTATCACTAAATATGCTAGTGTACTAATATACGAATACTGTAAAAGGCAAGTACACTGACATGTTCACATGCCATTATGCCAACATATTGATATACCTATAAGCTATTAGGTAAAATACGAATATAGTAAATGTAGTAATAGACCACTATAATAATATACTAATATACTACTACGTTAACATACGAATATCATGATACACCAATATACTAATGTACTCATGCACCAACGTACTAATATATTCGCGCAATCTTCAACTCTGCAAATATACTATTGTTCGAATACATTACTGTATTCTTATATTAAGCTCAAAATGTACGAATCAATCAGTATATTCACATATCAAAACTATTTCTAATACTGATACTAATACCAGCACTTCTGTGAATAATAAACAGATACTAAAACCAGCATTCAGACTGATACTAATACTAACACGAGTACTATTACTGACATTGACATCGACACTGGCACTAACACCAGCACGAACATAATCACGAGTTCATATTTACTATTATTGATATGTATACTTTTATTCAATACTAATACTAATACTGATGCTAATACTAATACTAAATACCAATACCAATACTAGTACTAAAGCAATACCCATCCTAATATCAATACTACCACAAAACTATTACTCATATGAACACTGATACCAGGATTAGGACTACTACAAACAATGACAGCAGTACTAAGAATAGAACCAAGAACAATACATATTAATCCTAACACTAATACTAGTACTAATACTAGCTACTAATTCTAATACTCATACTCATACCAATACTAATGTCACCACTACTGCTGCGACTACTACTGCTACTACTACGACTACTACTACTACTACTAGTACACATACTTAATACTAAAACTAATACTGATACTCATACTAGTCACTAATACTAATACTAATACTCATACTAATACTAATACCAATACTAATGCTACCACTACTACTACTGTGCGACAACTATTGCTAGTACGACGACTACTACTATTAACATCAATACACATACTTAATGCTAATACTAAGAGTAATACTAATTCGAATACTATTACTCATACTAAACATCCTAATATCAATACTACCACAAAACTAATACTAATGCTAACACTGATACAAGAATTAAGATCTACAAACAGTAATAGTGGTACGAAGAGCAGAATTGAGATTAAGATTGGGACTAGGAGCGCTGCATGCATGTGAAGAAATTTCCAAAAATTGCAAACCATCTAAAAGAACATTTTGGAATTGAGTTTGGGAGAAGTGTCTGTCGCCTATCCGTTGACAGATCCTGCCTGGGGACGCACGCCACCCTTCCCCTTCCCCACGACGGTCTGTCATGGGGGGGGGGTTGAGCATATATATATATACACATATACATAAATATGTACACACATACACATACACAGATACACACACGAAGGCACGCTCTCTTTGTCTCTCTGGTCAGCGGGCCGGCCGCCTCTCGGAAAGGTGTATTGAGAGTACCAGTATCACACACTTGCCAAACAAGTTACTCGCACCGTCGTACAAGCAGGATAACTATTACAGGGGCCCAAAAAATTACCCATACTATGCAGGGGTTTCCTTGTTCAAAATGTGGTATAATGGGCCGCGTTAATCCTATTCTAATATCAAGGCCACTATGTTACTGTTGCTTGTGTCCTTTTTGCGATCTCGAAGCCTGGAAGGCAGCCCATGCGCGGGAGCGAGCAGCTGCAGGTGCTGGTGACGAAGGACCGTCTGATAGAGCCTTGCAGGAACGGATGCCAGGGTACATTCTACTACAACCATATTAAGGAACCCCCACAATAGTATCTTGAACAAGGCACGATGTCCCAAATCTGCAGGCTGGGAAAGCTGTTCTCTCGGGTGTAGGGCTAGACTGAGAGAAACTGCGAGCTATCTGACTGCAGATCACATTGAGAGCCCGACTGGCAAGAATCCTGAAGCCTACAGTAGGCCCGTTTGCCACGGCTCTTCAACCCCTATGTCATAGACCCCTTTAAACATCATCGACCCCTTTAAAGGAACCCTTTAAAGAACTGATTAAGGCTCTATATCAGCTCCTCAGCTTTGGAGGAGCTTGCGGGACCTCGAGCACGGGGACACAGTTCTTTTCCTTCGCGGAGAACGAGAAGGACGAGCTGCTTCACTGGAGGGCTGCAATTTGCAAGGTGGAAGCCTGTACAATTACCAACATGATTGTTGTGCATTACTCATTATAGTCAAACTGGAAATGCGCCCTGTTCTAATTATCAAGGCCCCTCTATGTGGCTTGCCGAACTCGCCTGCGCGTAGATGAGTTGGTGCAGAGTTTGCAGGTCGGCTTTTCAGGATTTTCTCCAGGATGACGGACACAGTCTGTTCGCACATCTTCCGACTGCGCACATGACAGCGTTGTTGTTCTGTTGACTCAGGCCCTGCATCTGTCAACTGCACCCATAACTCGCCGGCATTGGTGCGACTAGTCCTGTGATCAGTGCCAGGACTATACGAGCCCACATTCGGTAGCCCACGAGCATTCAGCCTTCCAGCCTCCAGGCACAGATCCACGCGCGAGAGCGAGCGGCCGCAGGCAAAGTTGATGAAGGCAGGGCTTCGGACTGCTGGGGTTTTACCAGGACCCACCAAGGGCCCTTTACTAGAGCTCTTATGGTCCTTACTCGTGGGCATTTGGGTATAATAGGGTTTAGAGGAACTTAAACCACATAATATCAAGGCCCCCATAATTTAAGGTATATTACCTAATTAAGGGATATTGAGATCTTTAGTAGCATCCGGCAGTGCATCACAGCGGTTGGAACTCCCAAGGCGCCAGCGGGACGGCCAGCACAGGGACACAGTTCTTCTCCTTCACGGAACACGACAAGGACTGGCACTGAGAGGTTCCTTATTATACAAACTAACATCTAGCTTCGAAAGGTACATGAACAGATAGATGGAGAAATTGGCAGATAAGGGGAATTAGAAAGAGAGAGAAAGGTATGTATGTATGTGTGTGTGTGTGTATATATATATATATATATATATATACATATATAGAGCGTGAGAGAGAGAGAGAGAGAGAGAGAGAGAGAGAGAGAGAGAGCGAGAGCGAGAGCGAGAGCGAGAGCGAGAGCGAGAGCGAGAGCGAGAGCGAGAGGGAGAGGGAGAGGGAGAGGGAGAGGGAGAGGGAGAGGGAGAGGGAGAGGGAGAGGGAGAGGGAGAGGGAGAGGGAGAGAGAGAGAGAGAAATCTAGGCAGATAGACAGATATGTGGAGAGACAGTAGGTAGATATAGATCGAGAAGATGGGTAGACAGTAGACAGAGATAAAGACGAACGGACGGACGCGCAGACACACAGATAGACAAATAGATAGAGAGATAGAGAGGATAGTCAGATAGATAGACCAATAGGTCCACACACGTCCGTATCAGGCCGCGTGCTTTTCTGTAGGCTTTGCGGTTTCGGATAAGTAGACAGTTGAATCGACAGCTGGATTGGTGGGTACATCGCCATAGGAGATGGACAGCAAGCTGGCTGTTCGACTTTTGCCAGACCTTGGATCTTATGGCAGAAAAGACAACAGCATTATCCCCATGCCTTGACCAGCAATCCGAGCAATTGTCGTGTTAAGCCCTTGTTCGAGCTTGTTGATGTTGCTGTACGTGGTATGGCATGTCGAAGAGCCCCTGAACACGCTAGTTTCCGCCACTGTGGCTGAGCTCAGGGACCTTGCCCTACTCCGACAATTATTATTATGTTCCTGCAAGCAGACACAGGAGCTGGGGCGCTTGACGCTGCTGTCGCAGAGCGCCCGCTGTTTCAATTCTGCCCACTTGAGGGAGGGGGGTGCCACCCTCCACCCTATACCCGAGACCCTAAACCCTTGAACCTTCAAATCTTCAGTTCATAGCAACGACTTCACGCCGCACTGGCCCAAGCCAAGCAGAGCTCCACCCTACCAGGCAAAGTTGGTCCGTTTGCAGTGTGGGAGTTTCCGAAGATTAGGGGTACCTTATTTTCGGGTCCTTATGCTAAGGACCCTACTATTTAGGGTAACAACTAGGGTCCCCGGTTTTCGGAAACCCGCATGTAGGCTATAAGATTCAGCCATGTTGGGTGCCCCAGTACCCAAACAGTCAGACATAAACCCAAAAGGGGTTCTACTGTTCTATTTCTGAACACTAAGTTGCAAGGGTTGAATCGGCTTTAGCAGTTTAGGAATTTATGGTTCTAGGGTTCTAGGGAGCTGCAAGACAAGACCATATTTTCAGTCCTCCGGAAGTAAAGCGAATAGACATAGTTTATCATTCGTCCCATGTGGACTGGATGTCCGAAAAATCGCCCCCCCTAGACTTAGAAGTCGCCATCTTGGAGCACTAAGGCCGAGGGTGCCACTGCCGGCAAAGGAAACGCCGAGATATCCAACGCCAGCAATGGAGACTCCCACGGAGACGCAGGTGGGACTACAGGGGCCTCATTACTTACCTATAGTAATTTGGGGCTGCTTATTATAATTATGGCATCATAGGCCCCCAAAACAAAATTGTCATTGTCAAGGCCCCTATATTAAAGCCGGAACTCTAAACTCAATCCCAAACCTAACCCTCAGCCGTTGATTCGGTATGGACGAAGAAGGTCGTCACAGCTTTCGGGTTGGGAATATTCATGAGCTTGCACTCGACGTTCGTTCTTGCTCGGCGTAAGTCATACCTAGACCTTAAACACGACCTGCTTCCGAAGCTCAGCCTTCCTCGTCCTGAGACCGACGGTGCAGGATTTCCCGGCAGAGCTCGAATGGCAATAGTAGCAACAGCAACAAAAGTAATACTACACAGTCCATTGTATGAGACCGCTGCTGTCGGTGCTCGTAGGATCAAACCCTTAATCCTGCTGGTGATCCATAATTGCACCAGCGACGCCTTCGCGAGGACCTACTTATAGGCTCCACTGTAGTTCCTTTTGGGGCTCACATGTAGGAGCCTATTAAGGAAATCCCAGAAAAGAACCACTATGAGCCTATGGCAAAAGACCCTGAAGCCCCACTTAGCCTTACTTAACCAATGGAGATATGTGAGTTTCCGGAAATAGGGGACCCCAATCTAGTACCCTAAATAGTACCTTATTATAAGGACCCCAAAATGGGGAACCCCTATTTTCGGAAGCTCCCATATCCCTCGTACCGCGGACCGGAAATTTCCTTTGCACGGAAAGGCACCCAGAGCGCCGGTCCTCAGTGCTTCTCCTTCTGCGAGAAGGAGCCCTGAGGGTTGAAAGGACCCAGTACTTGAGGGTTTAGGGTTCCTTTAAAGGGGTCCATAAGGGGCTACTATACTGGCTACTATAAGGGTTCTATAATACAGGGGCCGAATAGTCTAAAGGACCCGATAATTAGGCACTCGGTTTTAGGGCTTAGGTTTTTTGGGACTCGGTTTAGGATAGTAGCCATGTAGGTTAGGATTTTGGAGAGTATCTGATTATTAACTAGGTACTTGGACCATTTGTGGGAGGGGCAAGATGTTCACCGACGAAAGCCACAAGATGAAGCAGCCTTCACACACGGAAGCTCCAAATCCGTCAACTCCATCCCCGGAATCCTAAATTTGACTCTCCTCATTGGAGGGCTCAAAGATTTGAGTCTTTCAAGGGCTGGAGGAGGGCCGAGGCTTTTGGATGCGACAGTCATTTGCTTTTACATAGAGAGGGCCTGGACGAGGGCACGAGGGCCTCGCAATCGTAGTGTAGAAGTACCCCCTAAACCCTAAACCCTAAGGTAGGCCAAGGTATGCGTTTCTGGAATCACTGCCTTGGGTCTTGAAGGTTTGAAAGCATCCCCTGAACCCTAAAAACGCAGAGTTTTCAGGGTTTAGGGTTTAGCAATCTGTTGAGGACAAAGCGATGTGGCGAAATGCTCGGCTGGTGCATGCCACCTCCATGTGAGCTGCAGCACCCAGCCCTAGGTCGATCTCCTGGCCTTCGATACTGTAGTGTAGCCCCTCAAACCGTATTTACAGCCATAAACCCCGATAGCCCTAAACCCCTAAACCGCAAACCCAAAACTGGCCCGAAACCCTAAACCGAGAAGCCCAAAACCCTCATGTCTTCAGAGATACCCCTCGAAGAAGGAGTCTTAAAAATAGTCCTACCGCCACACTTCGAAGTGCTCCGCAGCTGGCCGCTTTTGCAGGCCAAACCCAACGGGTCTGAGTGTCAGACGTTAGCGTTTAGGGGTCCTCGTAATAGGGTTTCGGGTTTAGGGTGAGTATCAAGATGGTATAACATACTTTCAGGGCGCAAAGTATCTACCATGTTGATACACAGACCGCTCGGGAAACAGGTAAATGTTCAATGGGCATCGGCCGAGTGTGTAACCCTGACGGCAGTGACCAGAGCTTGGAATCTGGGGTTGAAGGTGCAGCGTTCTGAACTCCCCACTCCCCACCCAAGCGGCTGAGAGGTTGAGGGGCCTGGGGTTCCTTTAAGGCTCTTTAGGGTTCCCGGTAATCAGCTGCCCAGTTCCTGGTTAATCCATAGGCTCCATGGTAGTTCCTGTTTGAGAGTACCTGATAGGATTCGAAAAATGAACACCGAAAAGGAACTACAATGGAGCTTATGGGTAATCCATGATTCAGACCAAGATCAACACAATATCCCTTGAAGGCTTGTCTGTCTCCGGTTGATGCATGATGCATGCTTGGTCCTCCATATCCTCGGGCTCATCAAATCGATTTTGCGAAACCTCACAGAGTCGACGAACCTTTGAGGTAACACTTGCAATTGTACTTAGGCTGTGCGGCTGCAGAGGCTTTTGTGTTTTTCTTTCTTGCGTTCATTTATCGCAGAAAGTGTGTGTGTGTGTGTTTGTATTACGAAGGTGTGGAATGTAAACTGTAGAGAAAGACTGATTGTGTTCTTTAACGCTGTTAGCGGTATCAGCTTGATTAGCTCTTTATGAAGTCGCAATCTTGCTGTACCATCTGTAGGGTACGATGCACGACTCGCGTGGCACGAGAAATATCACGGCTTGTATGTTACTCCGAGCTCGGTGCGGATCATGAGCGTCACAAGAGCGCATGACAAATGCACCCCACTGCTGTTTTGAGACACCTGCCGGTGGCTATCATTTGAAGCTTAAATGCCCAAAGGGCAAATCTGCTGCTGCCGAATTTGGGCAGCGCAGAAGCATCAGTTTTGCCTGCGAAGCCGCTGGAGGCAACTCTAGACTGGAGTCCTGGAGCAGAGACCGCAAGAAATCTAAAACAATGCAGAAACGGACCTCAAGCATAGAATCTCAGAGCCTCTATTATATCTGCAGGAATTCTGCCTATGCTTCTGCAACATGGAGTCCCATCCTATAGCTGAGCCAAGATCCCCTCCGCAACATTCCTCAACGTCTCCCGCAATGAAAGTCTACTGGCGTTCTTCTGGTTGGCTCTTAGGACTTTAGCTCTTGGGTTTTCATGTGGTTAAGAGCAAGCCAAAAGTTCAACTTTTAGGAGGGGCTCAGAAGTCAGGCTGGGTCTTGTAATTTTGAAGAACTGAAGATGTTGAAAGTTTGGGGTTGTCGCTGTAAAGGATTTTGTGAGTTCGGAAAAAGCTGGCTTCAGAATTCAGGATGTCCAGCTTCCGTATCGGACATCATTTGGGAGCAAGCTTCTGGTAGTCAAGGGTTTAGGGTTTAGGGCGTAGGGTTAAGGTTTAGGATTTACAGTCTAGGGTGAGGGTGCAGGATTTAGGGTTTGTCTTTTCGGTTGAAACTTACCGTCGGTACGAGCACACGCAAGCTTGCCCCTTCCGAAGCCACACGCTAGTCTGTTCAGAGAACCCCTTTCGAGCATGCTCCCGAATGTTGAAGCAGTGGATCTGAAACATTTGCAGCAAATTCTAACAATCCAACAGATCTAATGCCCAGACAATTGAGATCCTAAGACCTTAGACGTACCCGTGGATCGAGTCAGATTGCCGCCGACCGCTCGCATGGCGTAAGATCGAGGGAACCTCGCCACTTGAGCGGGGGTCTCCTGAAACTTCGAATGCTCTTTCGATGGAAGAGGCACGGCTGCAAAAAGAAGCCCTAGGGCTCCAGTTGCCTCACATGCTGGGTGAATTTATGGGAGTGTTTGGGGTTTAGGGTTCAGGGTGCGTGACATATTGGAAGGCTTCTTAGTAACTTGCTATTCACGTAACTGGAGCGCTAGGGAAGGATCGGTGTAGAGAAGCTAGCGACTCGGGACGTGGTGGTTGAAGATCGCAGTTTGGAAGCGCATGCTGGGCTGACCTACTTTACCGTCGTGGCTCTCTAGTTGCATGCCAATGTTCCATGTGGGTAGTATCATGGTGTTGGCGCAGGCACGACTGCACAGATGTTTTGAGAAGACTCGGTGGTGCAACTGGCAACCTGACATGAGAAAGTTTACACACCGCAGGCCGGTGGCTTGCAGAACATGCAGTCGTCATATTGGCCAGGCCGTTTCCTTTCCCGCTGCATGTCAATATGTCGAAGCTCCCAGTTCTAGGAACCGGTCCGCAACCATGTGCCCAATGCCCGATGCCATGATGAGCTCCAGAGTTTCAAGGCTGGCCTGGGTGCACGTCGGTTTGCAGGTTCTCGAACGAACAGTCGCCAGAAGCTACATGGCTAAAGCCCTTCTTAGGTTGACGACAGATATCCTGGACGGAGCCTTGTAATTCACATCGCTAGACCAACCTTCGTTTGAAGATATCGGTGTAACACGTCCGCACTTTCAGCCGACATGCGTGTACGCAGAGGACAGCATCCGCCAGGGATTCCGCGTGGCGCATGACGCAAGGCCTGGCTGCAGCAACAGTCATGGGATCTGGGCGGATGTGATGCATCATGCGAGTGTCACGCGCCAATTGCGCTTGGCGTTTGAGACAGAGCAATGGATGATGTGACAGTCGTTGGAGTAGGAGGTAGGTAGCGAGGTAGGCTGTATGCATGGGTGTATGCATGCATTGATAGACCTGTATGTGTGCAGGAGAGCAGCATTTCTGGAGTCAGAAAAATATGCAGTCAACTTTGATGCCGTTAATTGTGCCAACATCTTTGCCGTCCTGCGTGTTGGCACGTGGCAGGTTCTTGACGACAGGCGCAGGATTCGGCTGTACAGCTCTGGCGGTTCTGCATTGCGCATGGCGGCATCACGGTTCATACGCTACGGAAGCACTGGCGAGATTGAGGACGTTCTAGAGTTCCAGATCGCAAGCGCTATCATTGCTGGTGACGCGGAAGTGAGTAGCCACGAGCCCCACTTGTTTCAGCTGTGCTTGGATTTCCACCACGACGACACAGCGATGGCCTTGCTGTCCCGTGGGGTACCTGGCTGCAGGTTGAAGGTGAGGCACCTCGGACCCTATGCCCCAAGAATGGTTTCTTGCGGATGCGCTTGCGAAAGCCACGGGACATGCTGCGGATTCTGTTGCTGGGGATCGGACATCGGAGTCGGCGAATGGGGATCAAAATCAGGGCCCGCGATAGGTCCGAGATTCGCGGATTCACATCTGCTGTAGTTGCCTTTGCAAGGAAACTCCTGGGCCTCGAATCTCCGCATCTAGGTACTAGTAACGTATATAGGTAATGTAAAACCCGGTCCTTTCCCTTAGTTCAATGGCAACATCCCACAAGCTCAGGCAACACAGATGCTTTGGAGTTCGGCAAGGAGCACATCCTGGCCCTGCAGTCGGACGGGCCACTGCTGGATCGCGCCATCCGCAGTCTCTCGAACAAGTACCGCCCTCGTCTGTGGCCTGCGATCCCGCGGGACGCACCAGGCGAGCCAGATGAGGAGGCCGACGATGATGAAGCCGCCATCGTCATAGAGACCAACCTCCGCACCAACTCCAGCCTAGGCTTTCCGAGCTACGAGCATTGACCTGCCCTTTCCAATGCAAGAAGGCTTCTTCAGCCTCTGCATTTGTAGTCTGCGCGTCGGGGGCTGGTGAGTTTTTCAGGAGACGGCTGAGACACGACGACCTAGAAAAATGTTCTAGACAAGGAACACTATAAGAGCGCACGTGTAGTTGCATGGGGTACACCTTCGTAGTTGGCAGGGTTTAAGTTGGCCTCCGGTCAGAATCGGACGTCGCACCTCGCCGTGCGTTGCTTGACTGCCATGGTCTTGTTAGCCTTGGAGTCTTGCGAATGCCGGCAGGCCGCGAACGTGCCTGTAGGTGTTTGTCAATTTTGCATTGCTGCCCCTGTACAACTTCGGGCTTGATACAGCACTTGGGAAGCAAAGCTGCGAAGGCTTTACCTTGTGAGGAGGGATTGTTGCCAAGATGACTCTTGTAATTAATTACGGTTGCGACTGAAGGGGTGTAAGTCTGCATTGTGGATTTGTCGCCGCTAGTCTACGGATCCCTCTCAAGAGCTTGCCAGTCGAGGCTATTCCATCCATTTGCAACTTTCCCCGGCTTTTCCTCGAAGTGAGGTGCCACGGTCTTGTTAGCCTTGGCACAAGGCTTTCGAAGGGTCTAGCCTGGAAAGCTGCCGGCATCAAAAGTCCGATGCGTTTGCACACCTTGCTTGCCCTTCGCGCTATTCAATTTCCATTGTTTTTCCTTCATTTCTCGTGCAAATCCTTCGCCGTGGCGGTACTCCCTAAACCCCAAACTCCTAAACCCTAAACCCCTTGAACCCGAAGCCTCCACCCCCTAAGCCCTAAACCCCCTCAACCCTGAACCCTGCTTGCACCCACAATGTTGAAGCCGAGCGACCTGACGGAGGGGCATGCAAGTAAGCGGAAGGATGGAAGTCCTTAACAGTCATGGTTTGGGGTTTAGGGGTTTGGGGCTTAGATGGTTTGTGGAGGCACCGATCATACTGCATAGACAGAATTGTTTTGGGACCATATTAAGACCATGCTTAGATGCGTGTCAAGCCGCAAAATCCTTAACCCGAGACCCGAAGTGCAGGAAACCAGACACCGAACCCAAGAAGAACATCACACCCAGGGTTTAAGGTTTTAGCGGTTATCAGAATCCCTCCCGCACGTGCAGCTGCTGACGAGGCTGATGGCGACACTGCCGCAGCCCGGTGCCTAGAGATGTTGTGCACCGTTCCTAAACGACGGCAAGAACCCTAAAAGGGTATTTAAGCTTAAGGTTCATGCACCGTTGCAGGAGTTACATGAGAAGGGCATAGGACCGTTAACACTTGGAAGGATTGTCTGGTCCCTATGAGGTCGTCGGCACAGTATCTTCAGACCCCAGCTCCCTGAGGGCAGCGGGGAGTACTCAGTGACACCAGTCCCCCAACCTCGAGATACCTCAAAGACTGGCGTACTGAATTACATACTGCTGGTGATACAGATCCTGCACTAAGTACCCATATGCCTGAATACCCATACATAGGCTAGGGCCTAGGGTCATCAAGGTACTGCAGGGTTTACATTACCGGTATTGTATGGCTGGTAGCCTACTACTTCGGCACATTAGGCAACTGGAGCCCTCGGGATTGTTGTGAAGCTCTCGAGATGCGACTACAGAGGCTAATATAGGGGCCTAAATAATTACATATTGCATTTTGGCGGCTCCTTAAAATAATTATACTCTAGTTTTTAAGGCCCCTACAATAGCCAAGTTTCTGGTGGTGGTTTAGGGTTTAAGTTTGGTGGATTAGGGGTTTGGGATTGAATCGCCCAAGGCTTTCAGCTCCTATCACACCAGCCTTCAAACACCCTGTGATTGAAACGCTGACGCCGAATCTCTGTGTCGTTTCGGACGAGGTTTTCAGATATACCCTGAGCACCGAGGGGTCTCTTTCGAGCTGAAATTCAGGAACCGGAGCTGTGACGAAGAATTTCTGTGCTTAGAACCAAGCCTTTCCAGTTGAGATGAGGTGGGCTGGCGTTGTTTCTGCAGGAGCGTCCCTACTATACCCTAGGGCTCCAAGTATACAACTAGCACCTACTTTGGGTCTACAGAAAACCTACTTTGGGCAGTTTGGAGCCCAAGGGATAGGGTTTAGGGTTCTGGGGTTTGGGGTTTAGGGTAAAATTTGCCTATACTATTTTGGGGGTTGCCTCGTGGGGCTTATAGTACAATATACCCCCAACCCTATCAGAAACTATTGCGGCCGCTACATTATGCCGTCCTGCCTGCTTGCTGAGCACCTCTTCAACAGAGCTACCTCCACCATAACATGAAACCAACAGTAAGGCACATAGTCCTCAATTACAAACCCGACACCCTAATAGTGCCTGATTACGGATCCGATTCTGCCTTTAAACCGGTTTGAATTGGGGAGGAGTTGTTACGGTATCGTGCTGTAAGAAGTAGTAGAATAAGAAAACTACGAGTGGAGTTTGAGAGATCTACATGAATTGAGTTGAGGGTCTATGGTACTTCAAGAATTCATGTACCCTCAGCTGGGGTACTCACAACGCAGCAGTACTACAAGCCCCAGATACTCCAAATAAGAGCTGAAAATCGAAAGCCGAAGCCCCAGACCCTAGACCGTAGATTGTACCACCCGGAGTACGGATAAACACTGTTCTCATTCCGCAGGCCCTCTGCCAGACATTCGTAGAAACCCTCAAAACGATCCTTTAATGCAACCTTTTAAAAGAAACCCCGGATATTGTAACAGTTGAATAATGTTTGCATTATAGATGTATAAGGCGCTTTAAAGTGACCCCCATTTTGGACTGCTACTGTATGGTGCATCCAAAGGAAGCCCTAAACCCCTGAACCCGTAAGCCCCTAAAGCCCTAAACCCTACTTGGAAGGGCACGGGACTTACTAAGTCCCCTGCCCCTCCAAGTACACCCTTGAATCCTAGAGGAAACCTTGGACCCTTAAACTCTAGACCCCTAAACCCTAAAGGAAACGCGAAACCCTAGACCCGCTAAACCTTAAAGGAGACCCTAAACCGTAGACCCCTGAACCCCAGAGGAAACCCTAAACCCTAGACCCCTAAACCCTAAAGGAAACGGTAAATCCTAGACCCTTAAACATCTAAAGGAAGCGCCCCGAAACCCTGAAGCAAACGCTACACCCCTAAACCCTAAAAGAAACCAGGAATATACCTTAAATTATACTAGGATCCTTAATATGATTTAAAGGAATATTCCTTAATTAAGGGATATTGGAGTCTCTGGGAAACCCTAAACTCATAAACCCTCCAGATCTCCTTTAGGAACCCTTAAAGGAACCCTTATAGATCCCTTTAGCCTAAACCCTAAACTCTAAACCCCTAAATCCCTAAACCCTAAACCCCTAAACCCCTAAACCATAAACCCCCTAAACCCCTAAACCCCTAAACCCTAAACCCTAAACCCGATCCTTCAAGGACGGCAGCAATCTCAGTGCTCCCTCGGCGAAGCTGGAGCAGCCAAAGGCCTGAGATGGGGGAATGGAGGTCTCAAGGTTTGGCCCAGTACGGTTGATGATATAATCCTACATTTCCTTTAAAGGGATCTATAAGGGTACCTGTAAGGGGGTTCCGTTAAGGGATCTATAGGGTTTTAGGGTTTAGGGCTTATGGTATAAATCCTGCAATACCTTTATGACCCTAAACTATGGGAATTATGGTGTATGCCCTATTGTGGGGAATGCAAGGTGTATATCATCTAACGTAGTACCCTTTTCCCCTTTGTATGTTGGGTCCCCTTGTTGCAACCGAAGAGTTGGGGAGCTTGTTTTTGTATTGTGGAGTTATACCTCGAGAAGTGGATTCCATGATGATTTAAACCCAAGGTGCTGCTCAACATTTGCCTTTCGTTTGGGCCCCATGTGCCTGTAGACAAGTTTGAACCCTAAACCCTAAACCCAAAAGCCCCGTAACCGGGCCCTTGCGTCATAGGGACCCTTCCTTAAGTATGCCTTACTAGGTCCTGATTTTGGGCATTAAGACCCCCCCCCCCCCGTATATACCCCGCCCTCCCCCTACCGCCCTAGGGGTCCCTATGATTACGTGTTTGGACCGCATGAGGATTCAAAATCATCAAACCCTTGGCCTCTTCGACCCTTTACAGCCCCCGACTGCTGACTTGCTTTCCCGGTACCGTAGCCGTTAATGCAGGGGCCCTAATATTTACCTACACTGTTTTGGGGGTTTTGCTTATTATAATTACTATGGCCCCCAAACCCTATTCTATTTATGAAGGCCCTTATATTGTATTACCCCACTATAGATCCCTTGTCTAATTATAAGGCCCCTATATTTTGGTGTGTCGTAGGCTTTTGACTGATTGTGGGCCTTTGCAGCCTCAGCTTCTTACACGGCCTAGGCTTTTGATGGTTTAGAGCTTGAACTTGAAGAGTTTAGGGGTTAGGGAAGTTTAGGGTTCACCCTCAGGCTCCTAAACCCTCGCAATGAGATCCCAAACCTTAGCCCCCAAAGCCCGAACCCTTCCCCGAGAACGCCCATGACCCCTTTGGGAGCCTTAGGGCAGGGTTCAGGAAGTTTAGGTTTTTGCATTATGGGCTTGGGATTGTTCAGTTAAGGTTTAGAGTTTATAGTTTCAGGCTTATTGGGTTTGATTTTAAGTGTCAGCTCATCAGCCTTGACCATGGCAATACGTGTGTTGTTAAGGCGCCCTAAGGGTCCAAGTGCCCAAATCGTAGGGTTTTAAGGTCCAAAAAGCATTCAGAGTATGGATTTTGGGACCTAAAACCCTACTATTTGGGTACTTGGACCCTCTGGGCTGGTAGTTGCAAGGCCTACACCCCAATCTGAAAGCCTGATAAAGTAAGCGCTGTCTCATATTCAAAGCCGAAACCACTAAATACTACTTACTCTAGGCTCTTTCTTACAATTATAGTCTAATGGGAAGCAAAACCCTATTCTAAATCTAAGCGCAAAGCTTTTCGGGCTGTGTTTCTGCTTTGCACGCGATCAGCAGCAGCATGGGGAGGCCCATTACGCCAT